CCCATCCGGCCTCAGTGGCTCCCCGAGCTGCGCTTCCACCGACGCAAGTATCTGGCACTCCATCACGGCCAGATGGGCGAGGTGCGTTGGCGGAGGCGGCAACAGGGCGTCATAATACCGCCTTCCAACAGCTGACATCTCTGTACCAATCCTCGAGACAGCCGCCGCCGTCCTAGTAACTGCCCTCCTCGACTCCCCGCTGCTACCGTAGGGGCTCGAGCTCAACCCAAGGCCCCCGGACTCCGAGGACAACATATCACTCTGGGGAGGCAGCACCGGCGGCGGTGGCGTCGGCGGCAATGACTCCGCCTCCCTCCGCCGTTTCCTCGCCGACTGAACCTTCCGGTCCTTGAGCCTCCGATGACAGAACCACATCTGGAGCTGCCGATCCGAGAGGCCAGTCTTCACCGAAAGCTCAGCCCGCAGCGCCTCCGACGGATACGCCTCCACTGAAACCAAAAAAGAACAAACACACACAAAAGAATCACAACGATATAAATCACATATCGACACCGATCGACGCCCGTCCGAGACCGATCAGAGACCCGGAAACCCGAAGTGGGATAAAACAAACCGGCGTAGGTGTTCTCGAGGATCTCCAATTGGTAAGGGGTCTTCATCTTGCGCTTGGGCGGCTTGTCTCCGCCCTCCGCCGGCGGCGGCCTCTCCTGCTTTCCATCCCCGGCCTCCATCTCCTAACCCTAGATCGAACAAAAGGATTCCTTTCCACGGAGGCGAAGAACAAAAGATAAAACTAATTCGTTCCGCCTCGCATTAATTTATAGCACGCAACCGAAAAACATAAAAAGGTGCGAAGGAAAACCCGAAAAAAATAAAAAGCAGCCGTGGAAAAAAGGAAGAACAGAAAAGAAAGGAAGCGATGTGCGGTGAGATTTGGGGGAGAATAATAATAAGAATAGAAACACGAGAGATGGAATAAAAGATAAATAGAAGACGGGGAATTGGGAGAAATAAATGCAAGTTTGATTTGGGATTGGCGTGGAACGGATGGAACCCCCCATGTCTTCTGTTCTGTACTCTCCTTTTTCTCTTTGTTGTTTGGGGGAAAGAATAATCAAACATGAGGCGATCGTAAAGCGATCGAGAGAGAGAGAGGGAGGGAGGGGAGCGATCGTGGGGTTATGATTTGGGGTGTGGGGGGGGGTTGAGTTTTGTTGTTCTTCGCACCGTTATTGCCTGCTGCTTTTGTTTGCGCTCGTTTCGGTTCGGGGGCGTGATTTCGGCGGGTGTGTCGTGTGGCGTCTGTTTCCGTTACACCCCTCGGTGCGGTACGGAGCGTGCTCGCTGTCTCGGTGAGGTCTCGGTTTGGGACCCACTTTGGCCGCCGCTCGAAGTTTACCTGCGCTTCAGTGACGTGGCGCAGGAATATATGAACCTTTTTCGGAAATATGTTCTGTATAGGGTAAAATTTTCGAAAAAAATTTATTTTTTAATACCTTTTAGTTAATACTTTTTATAAAATTTATAATTTTATTAAATTAATGATATTATCCCTATCTTCGTATTATAAAATTCATCATTGTTTTTCTTTTTTTTTACTATCGATGATCTTTCTTATCAAAGACGATTGATCATACTAACTATAAAGGGTAAAATTTTTTTAATGGAAGAATGAGTGTTTTGTCGGAATTTTTAGAAATGAAGGTGTTGTATGGAAATCTCTCAAAATAATATTTTTCATGAATTTATCATATATATAATATGTTTATCTCTTTGTCTCCTTTGATCTTCGAATCATCCCAAATATGAGGTCACCTCCTACCATGTTGCCATCACGGTGCTTCTATCCATTTTCATGCTAATACATCAAATATTTGATAAGATTATATTAGGAACTGAAATTAATTTAGTTATAATTAATAAATAGATGCATGTGATAATTAATTCGATTTTAGTTGAATAAAATAATAATATAAGTCAATTCAGACTATGATTATTGATTAATTTATTTGGGATGAAATCAAGACTATGCGTAACGAAAAAGAAAGATATGAATGAGGAATAAAGAGAGAGACGATGTTGCATCGCATAGGGATGCTCATTGTTTTTGGTATATATCTCACCAAAATTATGATATATAATTCATCGGATACATTGTTTCGTACATATTATAGTCAATTGAATCCAATTGGATTCACATCTTGAGTACATATTATAATTCATCGCAGCATGGTGAATCCAATTGACTTGTGTGTTGAACATAGATCTAACACAGACGCTCAAGCGAGTGATCTGATGTGTGTCGATCAGATGAAGGCAAATAACCTAATACCAAAGTTTGAATACGAATCTAACAAGAAGCTTTTGCTACCAATGTTAGAGATGTTGGATGGAGTTTAGTAAATGATTCGATGGCCAATTATGTAGAATTCAAATTGTTAAATCTAAGCAATCGCACCGAATGATAGTCTAATTGGATCCTAATAAATTGGATTTAGTTGGAGAATTAGCTGAAGGATTATGAATTAGTTTGCAAATGTTTCCGATGATTGGGAGTTCAGTCAAATGTAAAATATACAAATCAAAAGTTGCCACCATTTGATTGATTGTGTTTGTTCTATTAATTGACCATAAGACTTGACGCTGATCTTAGTCAATGGTATATATATATCAAACAAGTCGTCGTCTTGAATTGAGATGTTGACCATTGACTCTCCCATAGAAATATTTTTCCTGATATGTATTATCATCTAAAAATATATTTGTGCGGCCAAATCAGATCCGAGCTGTTGTTTTCTAGTTGACTCTCAAATGGATTGACGCATTGAGTTTTGTTGATATGGAGAGTGATGAAAATAATAGAAGATAAGAATAATTATTAAAGAAGCTTTATTGAAGGATTAGGAGGAAGGATTTCTTTCAACATAATAATTTATCTCAACAGAATGGAGGATTTTCTTCAATAGAATAAAGAGATTTTTTCGTATAGTTAGGAAAATCTTATTTTCTATAGTATATTATCAGATGAATAGTCTAAATTAAAAGCGCTACTGCCAGCTCATCACGACACAATGTATCGAGTGTCTGATGTCGTATACCAAGTATGAATCATTTTAGTTTTGTTTTGTTGACGTACGATATGCTAGTAAACATGATGCATTTTGTTTTTGTTTTTGTTGACGTGATGATATGGTAGTGTGGAGAGTGATACAAATTGGAAGCGGTCTTTGTAAAATGAGACGTTGGCCCATTAAGGTGTGGAGCAATGAGACTTTTGGTGTCATATATTAATCATTTTTTTACCACATTTATTATTTATATGATAGAATATTGATTCATATGGCTTTATCATTATAAATCTTTTCAACTACATGCACAAACGAATCAAAAGATAAATAAATAAATATGATACATGATATTATATGTGAAAAGAATTCTAAAAAATCACAACTTTGAGTTTTTTTTTTTTCGATAGAATGCCATGAGATATATGAAAAAGGTCACTTTGCTCTCATAATTTTAAAAAAATTATGTTGTATCCCTAGCCTTAATCGTGCTTGGTCGTCTGACTTGTCGCTCTCATATTTATCATCTTATGCATAAAGGCACAATTAAGAGAAGGAAGAGGAATAGCCAATGAGGGTCATGGTCAACCACGATGGATAACAATGATTGATTAGTAAGGCTACTTAGTATAGGGCAAAAGAGAGTCGTCAGCAAGATAGAGGTGTGATAGAGGACAATGATTGATATGAGAAAAATGATCATTTAAAATAAAATAATATGTGAGAATTTTTTAAATATGGGATGCTATACCACAAAAGAAAAAAGTCATAAATATTTACCAATAATTCAGCCTTAATGATATTATATCATTGCTAAGGTTATATATATATATAATAACAAAGCCGAGTCTGAAACTGTTTCTAATCGACTAAATGAAACTTTTGTTGTTATTGAGATTCGTAAAAAAATTATATATTTTATTAATTTAAAATATTTAAATTATTATTTATAGTTTATATTAATTTTTTAAAGATATTCCTCTACTTAATAAATATAATCATTTCACATATACTTATTACCATATCAATAGATATCCTAAACATATTTTTATATTATCTTAAATAATTATTTTAATTTTTATTATCTATGAAATGATACTTAATTGTTTATGAATATACATCTCAATAATATTATAATATTTTTTTATAATTAATAGGTCATCAAATGTGATGATGAGATAGTTTCTTAATAGGATAAATGTGTATAAAATGTGAAAAAATACTCTACATCAATCGTCATAAGCTTATGAATAGAATAAAAGCACTCATACCGAAGAAGAGAGTGCACCATCATATAATGAATAATATTATTTAATATGAAGGATGTGGTATAACATGATTAATGTTACATATTTATATATTACACGTTACTTTTGGATTAATTATATATTAGCCAATGTAGTTAAACCCTTTAATATCCCAATCTCTATATTTTTAAAAAATTATATTAAAAATATTATAATTATGAAACAAAAAAATTTACCCTAACGTAATCAATTTTATCGATAAAAGTATAAAAATGATGGATTAAAAAATAATTTTAATATTTTTATAATGATAACGGATGAAAGTTCTGGAGCATGAGCAATTATTGTGAGTTACTATTGTAGATTAGGATGAAGAGCGACAATAAAAGAAGAGGAAGAAGAGGATGATGTAAATCTTTGTTTATCTCATATTTCATCACCGCTCTTCCTTCTCATTTACAACAAAAATCCGGGACCCATAGCGACACAAGGATTGTCATATGCCACAAAAAAAAAAAAACTAGAATATTAAAATTATTTTTTTATGAATTATTTTTATGTTTCTATCGATAAAATTAATGATATTAGGATAAAAAAAAATAGATGTTTCAATTTCATATAACTATATTGATTCTAATATAAAATTTTTAAATATAAAAAAAATATCATTTAGATCTAACTACATATGAGGAGTATATAATTACCCCTTACTTTTGTTGGTCACATGATTTAACATATAAAGAAGGCTCTCGTCTTAAACTCGTTGCAAAGAGGTGATACCGAGCGTGCGTCGTAGCGAAGTGGGGGATTCGTAGCAGATGGCGCGCGGCCAAGCATCGGCCATCCGGTGGACCAAAGAGATCACCAACGCGCAGGTCCTCCGGCTGATCCGTGCCGAGTCCGATGTCCGCAAGGCCCTCCTCGTCTTCGACTCCGCCACCGCCGAATACCCCTCCGGCTTCCGCCACGACGCCGCCACCTTCGCCCACATGTCCGCCCGCCTCGCCGCCGCCGGCCTCCTCCCCACCGCCTTCTCGGTCCTCGCCCGCGTCCCCGCCGAGCTGGGCCACCCGCCCCCGGAGCCCGTCTTCGCTGCCCTCATACGCGCCCACGGCCGCGCCCGCCGCCCCCTCGACGCCCTCCGCCTCTTCCACGACGCCCCCCGCCTCCTCCTCCTCCGGCCCTCCAACCGCTCCTACACCGCTCTCCTCGCCGTCCTCGTAGCCCACAACCGCCTAGACCTCGCTAGCCGCCTCTTCGCCGGCATGAGGGCAGCCGGCGTCCCGCCCTCCGTCGCCTCCTACAACGTCCTCCTCAAGGCCCATTGCACCGACGCCGGCAGCGGCGCAGACGTGGACGCGGCCCTCCGAGTGTTCCGCAGGCTGCCCGATCGCGGGTGTCCGCCCGATTCTTGCAGTTACAACACTGTGATCGACGGGCTCTGCAAGCATGGCAGGATCGGCGAAGCCAAGCAGCTGTTGGAGGAAATGAGTGACAAGGACTGCTCGCCGACCGTTGTCACCTACACTACTTTGATCCACGGGATGTGCCGCTCTGGCTCGCTAGACGAAGCAATAGAGATGTTCGACGAAATGACTAAGAGAGGGATTAAGCCGAATGTGTTCACGTACAGTTCATTGGTCGACGGCCTCTGCAAGGGCGGACGGTCGCTAAAGGCCGTCACTTTGCTGGATCGGATGGTCTCGGAGCGATGCCAGCCGAACGCCATCACCTATTCTGCGCTGATTAATGGGCTGTGTAAAGAAGGAAGGCTTGGGGAGGCATTGGAGATCTTAGATAGGATGAGACTGCAGGGGAAAAAGCCAGATGTAGGATTGTTTGGCAAGCTCATCGATGGGTTGTGCGAGTCTGGCCGTGCCCAGGAAGCCGCAAATTACCTCGACGAGATGGTGCTCAGTGGGATCACACCGAACCGCGTCACCTGGAATCTCCATGTGAGGATTAACAACACAGTTGTGGTGGGGTTGTGCGCTGTTGGTGATTCAAGCAGGGCTTTACGGGTGCATCAGAGCATGAAGAGCAGGGGTATTTCTACTGAACCGGACACATTCCATCATCTGGTAGATTGTTACAGCAAGAAGGGAGATGTGCACAAGGCAGCACGGGTAGTCAGCGAGATGTTGCTTGAAGGTTGCGTTCCTACCAGGGAGACATGGGCTGTTGTGATTGGTGGTTACTGGGAAAGGAGAAAGGTGAGGGAAGCAGCTGAGGTTTTCTTGGATGGGCTGGTGGTGGGTGTAGCTCTTTGAGGTCTTAATAAAAAGTAATTTGAGTCACTTCCTATGCACTCACTACCAAGTTATCTGCCAGGAAATTGTACATGTTTGGGATACCATAAGGTATGACGTGAAACAGCGAACATAAATAGCAAGTCAAACGTTATTGACAGTAATTCTTCTAAATGTGAACCGTACATAAAGCTTCTTTCGGCCAAAATAATAGTGTACTACTGAGCGTGTGAAAAAGCAGACAGTAGAGACAGTAGTTAACATGGCTCATCTATTTTTCAGACTAATTGTTGTCTGTTAAGATGAGTACCTGTGTTACATTCGAATGTAGGGGAAAAGGAAGATGTGGAATCTACCTCTAAGGATACATCTACACCAAATCTGACAGATAAATAATAAGAATCAAGCAAGCTAAGAGGCAATTTTTCTGAAAGCACATCACACTGAAAGGGTCAAAATAAGAAAAATATTGTGGGGGTTGACAAACAGCTACTTACCAAGGACATGCTTCTCGTACAATGCAATAATATCCTTTTTGTTGGGATTCCTCAGCTCCAACAATTGTGCACCGAATCCATACTTTGTAAGCTCTTGTTTAAGCTTCACAACCGTAAACCTTCTGTAATCTTCTGTCTCAGATTCTTGATTTGCCTGACTCTGATTATTATCTTGTTCCCCTCTAAAAACTGAACCACCATCTTCCATCTGAGAATAGTTGAACGGGCTTGTGGTACTCTTGGATCGCTTTCTACCCTTGGCAACTTCTTCACCAGTGTCCATATCATGGACTGACTCAGTGCCTATGTTGTCATCCACCCTCGGACGTTTCCCACGAGCACTCTTCATCTTGGTATCAAGTGCACTTTCGTTGAGCCGAATAGACGTCAGCTCCTGTTGGAGAGAATCTAGTTTGCCTTGAGTTAGTTGTAGCTGCAGGGACAAGGCCTCTGCCCTCTTATTGGCCTCTGCGCGAGCTGCTCGTTCAGTTGCCAGAAGACTTTCCAAAACTTGGACTGTGTTGGACCTCTGCTCATTGTTCTCACTCAACATCTCCTCTATTTCCTTTTCTCGCTCTTCCACTCTGTGCTCAAGTGACGCAACCTTCGCAATCGCATCGATTTCTGATCGACGAAGCGCCTCAGTTTCATCAATCAACTTATTCCTCTCTCTTTCCAAGCTCTCAACCTGTCTCTCAGCTTTTTCAATAAATGCCAATCTTTCCATTGCCAACCTTTGGGCTTCATTCTTCTCCTTCTGAGCTGCCACTACTTCTGCACGAGCAGTGTCAGCCAACTCAGTTGCTTTCTTTGCATCCCTTTCTGCGTCCTTGCACCTCCTATCTGCTTCATCGAATTTCTTGCTTTCAGAAAGATACTTCTCCTGGAGATGATTATTTTCTTGTTCTAGAATTTTGACTTGTCTCTCATGTGTCTGGGCCATGGTTTTAACAGAATCCAAGTTTTCTAGTAAACCTTGGATTTCATTTTTCAAAACTGAAGACTCAGATTCCCGGCGTTTCAGTTCCGACTCAGCAGCCTGCATGTAAGTAACCTTTAACACAATACAACAACCAATTTCCAATAAGAAAAAAAAAATCAACCTTCGATGACATAACTTACCTCCAATCTTAGAAGCAAACTATTTGCTTGATTCTCAGACTGATCAACCTTTGCAGTCAAGTTTATAATTTCTTTGTCCTGTATAATTATAGTCAACAAAAGGATGATGTGATAAAAAGCATACTGATGAAAATATATATACATATCAGATAAATATATCATAGACACATAAAACACATGCGGAGAACTTGGAATACCTTAGTTGCTAGTTGCTCAGCAAATTCAGTTCTTAGAGTATCTTCCCTGGCTTGTACCTTCTTATTAGTGCGTTCCTGTGCTACTGCTGCCCTCTCCAAAGCAGTTTTAGCATCTCCAACTGCTACATCATATTTCCGCTTCCACTCCGACGCTTCTTCCTGGGAGGATGCTACCTGTTCACGAACAGCAGCTAACCTACCTTCAGCAGCACCTATCCTGGCTTCCAGAACTGCAATTTGAGCTTTGAATTTGTCTTCCTCAGCCTTTTGATCCGCCATGCTCTCGTTGTACTTATTTTTCCAATTAGAGGATTCATGTTTAGCAAGTTCCAAAGCATTTGATAAACTCAAGCAGCGTTCCTCTAACTTGCTATATTTGCTCTGCAAATCAGCAATGCGACCAGAGTAATCTTTCGAGATCTTTTCCTTGTCACTGATAGCATCCTCATAGCGTTTCAAATATTCAGATCTGTGCTTTTCATTAGCCTCAAGTTGCTTCATAAACAAAGCCAATTTATCCTCACTTAATCTGCATTTAGACTTCAGAGAATTCCTTTCTGATTCAACATGATTCAATTGCTTTCTGAAGAGGTCTGAAATTGATCCCTCCAAACTGTAGAAGGAAGAGGCTAGACTGAATGTGACTGTACTTATTTTCAGTAATCTAAACTAAAATTGGAACTGTAGGACTTGCATCATGATCCATATTATGGATCAACATGAAAATGAATCAGGTAAAGATTGTTACATGTAGAACTAAAACAATAATTATGTAACAATTATGAGAACTTGATAAAAGACGATATAACCAGCCTGATGCAACCAGTAATGCGATCAGGTACAAGCCAGAAAACCATTAAAACTCTGACATCATATTCTGAAACACATGCCACATTGCAAGAGTTGAAAAGGACAAACCTCTGTTGCAGAAATGTGGCCAACTTTTTCCATTTTCCCGGACCATGGGCAGAACTCTCAAAGTTAACTAGCAAACGGTCCAAGAGCTGCAGTGGCATCCAAGTAAACAACCACTCATCACATATTATATTTAAAGATAAAGGAAAACTTTTAGTTTAATAATGGACCAACTTATTAGGCAAAAAAAATTATGGTGAGGGCATCAGAAACTACATGGAACCATACAACGCAAGAGAAGACGAGATCTAAATGCATAAACAGAATTGAAGAGAAGGATGGTTAGCAAAAAAAATGCCTACAATGTGCCCAACAAGGACAACAGTGACCATGCTTATGACAAAACAAATGTTTCTGTAATGTAACAAAACATGTTTTGCTTCTTGTGTACTATATTGTCCAGTTTCCATGCTCGTTCCAAGACAATTTGGCTTACCTGAATCACATCACTGAGTTTGGCATCAGGAGCATGGCAAGCTGCTCGTAACTTTGTTTCCATGCTTTGGATTACTTTAGAGCATTGCAAATCCGCTTCTAAGAAAGCAGTCCTTTTGTACTCCTGTATAACAGTAGCAAAGCAATCAGCGATCAGAACGAACACAAAAAAGAAGGCATTTGAACAAATAACAATCACTCAATGGGCACACAATTTATTGAGTGGTTAAAATCACTTAATGATCATTAGAAGTTTCCAATCATATGAATCATTTAATTAGTATTTAATTTTTAAACATTATGGCAGAATAATTTGACCACCAAATTTCCTATTAGAGCCTAATAACTCTGTCCTTTCTTTGGAAATGTGCAGCGTGCTGTTGACCAGAAAGAACAAGATCAAAGGAGACTCCTGAACCAATTAGCAGAGGCTCCAATGCAAATACGATAGATTACAGCAGCCTGCAGCAAACTGGAAGAAAACAAGCACCCTAATTCCACTAGGACTGCACCAAAAGAACCAAGAAAGGCTAGGCAACCTTCTTCTGATCCAAAGAGGCCAGGATGTCCAATTCGTATAGATATTAGATAATATACAGACCATATGGACAATCACACTGTCCATATGGATGGGTTTGTTGAGCCTATCTGAGACAGCCAGGGGTACGATATGCCTGTAATTTGATGGACAATCCTAGATTATTTTAGTACATTAGTTACAAGGCACTAGCAACCCTGAAATAAACATTCTTTCATGAACTTAAGGTTCACATTGGGACTACTGTTTTCTCCCTTTTTATTGTTAATAAAGTTAGATTAGTTCAGCAGTAATTATAGTAGCTCTCCGGAGGTTTCTTGTCCACCTCATATAGGGAAGAACTTGTTCGAGGCAACACTCTAACACAAGCTAATCTCTTTTAACTGCAAAATGGGCCATCCTAATGAGTGATGAGTCTAATCAATAACCTATGGATTGTGATGTCAAGAAGTATAAGAAACTTCCATATCTAACAAAAATGCAAACATCTGATATCGGTCAATTAAAAAAAGACAGTAATTTAAAATTTAAATTTGGTAATCGTGTTACTTGTATAATTATTTACAACTAGTCATTTGTACATCATAAATCTGAAATTTCATCCCTTGCAACTATAATATCTTCTAAAAGATTTTTGACAACCCAGCTACATTACCACAAAAACTATAGCATGATGGTAAGTATATTCCATTTGATTTTTTATCTCTAAAGTATATATAAAATAACAATACATACACATGTAACCATATATCATCTCAAAATAGTGGATATCTCTGATTTTCTTTACTTTTAGCTGAAACTAAAACTAACACCAACTTTTCAAAGGATTAAGGATAATAAAGAACTAGAAAAGAGATGGAATGGCAGTCAGGAAATATCAGTTTGTATGCTTTTCTTCACAAGCTAATCATGAAGATACTCTAATAATTCAATTGCATCTCTTAGCAATTCCCATTGATGAACAGGACACCAATGATATTAACTACTTTCACTGATCATAGAAGTACAACTTTAGCGTCAGCTGATAGAATTTTGGTCTATTCATTACATCAATTCTCTCAAATCGAAGAGAATGAGGAAAACTCCAACAGGTATATGTCATGGAACGGGCAGAAATTGCAAAAAGCTCAGTGGGAAATACATTGAAAAAAAGAAACAGTAGAATACAGAATGTTGGTAGACAAGGTGCTGCTATCTACTCCACTAAATGACCAACAATTTTAATAACGAGATTGGCACTCACCTCAAAAGTCTTTCTGAAAAAATTGAGCAAAAGTTTCTCATAATTCTGACGTGCTAATCCACTCCCCACAGCACAAGAATTGAATGCATTGAGAGCTTT